CTTGTTAGTTCAATTTTAGGAATCCCAGCTCGTGTAGCTTGGACCTCTAAGAAGCCCCGCACGACCGGTTCGACATTCATTCCCATGATCACTGAGTGGTTCTCAGGTTGAGTCCCCGGATCTTGAAATATGCCCTCATGGAGCTGATCCAGGATTCAATGTCTTCTTTGCCGTCGTACTTAGACGGTATTTGAACCGCCTTTCGGTCCACATAGGGACCAGCGTAGTTGGGACCAGCACCTGCTGGTTCCAATCTTGGGGCTGCAGCAGTCGCAAAATTTCCAGCCTCGTTGCTCGTCACAACAACAGCGGAATCTTCACCTGTTGTAGGTCCCGAGGGGGTTGCCAACACATTCAAGGAAGAAGATACAGTAAGAGAGGCAGAGGTAGTTTCAATTGCAGCTTCAGATCCAGGGGGTAGAGGAAGAGGGTTGGCCACTTGGGCTTGTCGCAGCTCAGCCACCTCCTTTGTCAATTCATGGTACTTGCGGGTCATATCAGTCCGTATTTCATTCATAAGTTCTCCGGTTTAAACAAAAGAGAATTTTTCATGTTTTTACCTCTTGTAATTGGAGTCTTGAAGTGTTCGCAACTTTGCGAAGACTTCAGCGATCTGAGTGGTATGATCCTCATGATTCCTGACTTGAACAAGGGCGGTGAGTATAGACTGCAACTGTTCCCCACATTGCTCTTCAGTCAGTGAGGGAACAGTCTCTAGGATGGCCAACTTCCTTTTCAACAATGTCTCCTTCCTCTCCTTCTCTGCCTCCTGTTCCCTTTTGGTTGCACTATCTAGGAGTGCTTGTAGATATGGCTTTTTCGCATCACTGGCTACATCTAACAAGGCCCGCCATTTAACTGAAGTTAGCTGAGCCATTATTGGACCGTTAGTGTTCATAGGTGGGTCAGAGAGTCGCCAGCCAGCAAAAAAATCAATTAGACTCTCAAGAGGTTCACTCCCCTTCTCACTTGGACAAGCACTCCTTTTCCCAGTCCTTGGCCACTTCAGACGGTTTCCCTCTCTCCCTTTTCTCTCTCCCTCTCTCTCTCTTCTTTCTGGTTGCGAGTCTCCATGGGCATCGGAAATAAACTCTGAGAAACAGACTGAAAAGCTCAGAGAAGAGAAGGTAGACCTCCTAGCCGGAGCGGCATTTCATTTGGAAGTAGAGAGCAGCAAACCAAAGAAAAACAAACAAATTCAAACGAGAGGTCTGATCCAGCGACCCAGTCTGATCAGACTGCATACGAGGTCCTCTCAAGTCCAGTCTGACCAGCTCCGTGACCGTACAGCAAATCGGACAATGAGTGACTAAATGCAACAATAGAGAATTGAGTGGTGTACAGGGTGCGAGTCAAGCCACGGACAGTGCAACCAAAAGACATGCGGAACGTCTCAGCCGAGATCCCCTCGGCAGTGGGTGTCCTAACCAAGAAGAAGGAACTCTGTAACACAGTCAGAAGACAATGGGCTAATGCCCAACCGATTTGGGCCCAGAGGGCTCTTCTTGTTTGGGCCCGGTCCCATTGGGTTCCAGAGGTCCCACGTAGGTTGCGACCAGGTCCCAACCAAGAAGAGTACCGCAAGGACTTAGTTCAGTCTTTACCACACTGAGAAACGAAATTTCAACTTCCGGCAGGACCTACAGACTACATCCGTTCATAAATGAAAGACAAAGCACTATAGAAAGAATCGACATTTAGATCAAGATACTTCATTTCCCATCCATCAGTTGAGTAGGTAGATCACATGCAATCAATCACACAATCAAGACCACAGAGGAGTAGGAAAAGAAACCCAGAGAACCCCAACAGGACAATCAATACCATACACACATACATGGCCATCCCGTAGGTGCACGGCACTTACCTGAGTGGCCTTGAGCTTCGAGATGAACAGAACTCACCACCCTCTCATGTGGTCCTCCTGACCCCTCTAACGCTACCCCTATAATAGTGTCCTATCTCCTAGGAGGGTCTGACTCCAACACCAAAGTGCAACGCCGGATCCCCCGTCGATGCTGAAGAACAAGTAGCAACTTGCAGTCCGTAGATGCTGAATGGCCGCTGACCCTCAAGCTCGCTACTTGAGGGCAGCCCTTAAGTTGCCAAGTGTCTCCCTTGAACCAGATTCCAGGTGCGAGTGCCTCTCACTGTCGCCTCTCTCAAATCGCCGCATGAAGCCTCCTCGAAATGTCTCGCCACCCTAGGTTAGGGTTGGCAGCAAAGTCAACTCTCACCTGCAAGTAGAATCCGCTCTGATACCAATCTTATGATCCTGGCCCATTTCGAGATACACATCCATCAGAAAGTACAATGCCGTCCAGTTGCAGAAGGAAATGAATGAACTTGAGAGGAGAGAGAGAGGATTAGAAGAACAAGAAGTAAGAAAGAAGAAGAGGATGATGTACACCAGCAAAGGCAAATGACAAGGCTCTTCTTCTTCGCCCAACAACTCCTCCTCCTTATCTCCCCCTTCTCTTATTCATACAAGAAATAATAATACAATGTTGAATGGCTGATCCAGAATCAAAGTCCGAGTTCCTCTTCTACTGCAGGTATCACTTGA